ATGCCCCCGGAATGCGACGACCCTGCTGACCAGATCGCAACTGCGTGTGCTCCAGGGGAACTGCGACCGCCATCAAAGATGGACATGTTTTGCCATGTGTTCTGGGGGCGGGGCTGAAATCCCAACCGGCTCGAACGTCGCGCCCGCCTCAGCTGCGCGGCGCGCCGCCAGCTGCGCAGTTGGGGGGTTGGAAGCCGCTCTGTCCCATGTACACCCGGCTTTTCCACAAAATCTGCGAATGCTCAATGCAATCGCAGCTCGCTGCTGCGCTAACTGCTGGCAGGACAAGATGGCAACTGCAAGAAGGCTTCAGGATTCGATCAACGGAACGCATGTCCCCGCATGCAAGGGCTCGCTGCGCAGGTGCTTCGGACGCCAGTTTGGCCCCGCAAAGAAGGCTGCTCGCCGCGTGGAGATCGCTCATGGAAAGCTTGCGCGCAAGGGGAGCAGGCCGCCTCCTCAATCACAAGCGCCCTCGACGAGTTTATTCGCGGGGACAGCAATCCCACGATAGTGGCGCGGACCGCGACATCATCGATGAGAAACGCCACAGGCTACCTGCATGTCCGCACTCCAGCGCCCCCCCTGCCACGACGACTTCATCCGTGCGATCCTGAAGCGCCTGTGCGCGTGGACTTCCAGGGCAGCTGCTCGGCGCGCGCGCAGCATGCCCGAAAATGACATCCCGCGCGTGCCCGCGACGCCGGTGCCCGAATACAACGCCCAGGACTCGCAGCGGGCACGTCAATGCCTGAGGGCGATGGAGGAGGTCCTGGGGCACTGGGCCAGCGACTGGATCCCCGACGTATACTTGAACTCCCAGCTCATCGGCAGATGGCGGGACTGGATGGTCTAGCGCAAATCTTGCGTGTACCGAGTGCCCTGCCGCCCGTGATTCGGGATGTTCTTACGGGCACGGGCGACGAAGTCTCCCGCAAACAAGTTATCCGCATGTGCACGGACGTTTGGAATGATGGAGACATGGATCGACGAAGGCAGGCCCAATTCCAACGGCAACCTAGGCCGACCCCGACATCCCCCAGCATCTGGAGCAAGCGCGCGCTGAGCATCGCGCGCGGCGGCGACTGGTGCAGGCAGCATATGGAATCAACGACGATCGTGTGACCTCCCTCCCGATGGAAGTCAGCCGCCCTGACAAGACTGCTGCTGTCCACGGCGTTGCGGCGTTGCCCCAGCTCTTGCCTATTTTTCGCGCGGAGTGGACTTCGGCCAGGAAGCAGACCGCGATGAGGTCGCCCCGTTCCGCATGTGGCCCATCATGAAGACGCTGTGGACTATGGCCACCGACGTGCTCGATGCACGTGCACTCCCTCAAGATTCGGTGCATATTCGGTTGCGCTGGCGGGACCGACGGCTGATCATACTACAGGGGCTGCAAGTTCCTCTGACACCACGTCGCCGAACCTCCTTGCCAGCTCGCGCGAGGCGTACTGACGCAAATGGGATTCGGCCGGCAGAAATTGATCGACAGTGGCGATAACAGCATCCGCAGCTCCCTCACCCGACTGGCCATCATGCACCCCGCTTACGGATGCAAGCTTGAGAGAATCCGGCGTGGCGGAGACAGCACCGCCATGATGATCGAGGAGGCCGCCGACTTGCACAACGCGCTTGTGGGCGCCCGCGCTTCCGCCATCTTTGGCGACTACCAGTCGACAGGCAAATGATCCTTGCCGCGCGTGCCGCCCCGAGGCTTCCCCCGACCCTGCACGGTGGCGCGGGGCCGCGCGGCGGGCGCGCCGCCTAGCGAAGAGCACGTCCGCTTCATTGCGCGTTCGCTTCTCTGGCCTCCTCCTCATCAGTCCTGTTCGTCACCCCTTATCATCTGTCATCCTCTCCCCCCGCCCCCTTTTTCCTTTTTTGCTCTCTGCTGCATCCTGGTACTGCTCCTCCTGCTCCTGCTCCTCTTCCTCCTCTTCTTATTTTGCTTCCTCCACTTCCTCCTCTGTCATGTGGCCTTTCCGCGGCACCTCCTCTTCCTCATCCTGCTTTTCCTCGTCTGCGCCATTCTTCCTCATCATCCTTCCCGTTTCTCCCCCGTTGTCCTCCGCTTTCTCCTCCTCCTATTCCTCCTCCTCCTCTTCCTCCTCCTCCTTGTCCCCATCAACCTTTTCCTCTTCGTCCTCCTCCCCGTCCTCATCCCTTTTGCTCCTCCTCCTCCTCCTCCTCCTCCTCCTCCCCCTTTCTCCTCCTCCTCCTCCTCCTCCTTGGCGCCGTGGGATTGTCGAGTCACACGGGGTTCCACAGGGTTGTTGTGTAGCCTTTCCCCTTTCTTGGCTTTGAACCTCATCGATATTCATACATATATACACCTATACATCAGTTTCTGTCTCTCTCTCTCTCTCTTTCACAGTCGTTTCTTTCCTTTTTTGTTTTGGTGTTTTTGTTTCTCTCTCTCACTCTCTTTCCTTTTCTTTTCCCGATCTATATCACCTTTCAGTTAGCCTCCTCGCTAAGAGGCTTGCTGACGGCTTCCGTTCGACAGCATTACAAGACGATTCCGGTGGACAGCCTACTGAGGGTTTCTACTCGGATTTGCAAAGCACAGCACAAATATTCAATGTCCTCGCAGCAGGAACCCGTTGGGAATCATGACAACTGGGTTCTATTGGAACGCCTCATAGTTGGAACCGCTTGGAAAGAATTGTTGAGGACTTCCATTGGACAGCATCACGCAAGGAATCTCCTGGCAAGCGCCGCGCAGGGATTATATGGGAAACCATCACACCCTAAATCTTTGTGAAAGCGCAACAAAAGGGATTGATTGGAAGGTCTCGCAGTTGGAACTATGTGCGAAGTGTTACACAACAGGGGCTATCCGTTGGAAATCGCTACAAACACAGTCTGTTAAACACAAGCAGACATGTAATCCTCTGGAACTCGCTCCAGAAGGACTACGTGGGGAAAGCCTTACACTTGGACTTCTGTGGGAAAGCATCTACAAGACTGTACCTGAAGACTTCAGAACAGAGATCCTTTGGACAGCACAGGAAGTACATAAAGAAAGGCTGGTTTGGAACGCCCGGAGCTATAATCTTTCGGAAGGCCCCCCTCAGGGTTTCAATGGCCTAGCAGCAGGACGCCGCTCGGATCAACTCACAAAGGATAAACTCTCATCCACGCAAACGCTTAGAAAGCACAGTTGGCGGTTTCTATTGGAAAGCCACACGGTAGGAATGATTTGAAGGACACATCAAATTTTTCAAGTGGGAAGCCTCGGGTTTGGAACACTGTGCGAAGTGTTACACATGTATTCCATCGTATGTTCTCACAACAGGGATACGTTGGAACGCGCTGTCAAAATCAGTAAACAATGCATGCGTTTAGAACAAAGCATCGTTGGATTTTTGGAAAGCGCCCCAGATCGATTGCGCGGGAACAACCAACTGGAGCCCTGAAGAACAAAAAGGATTGTAACAGATGGTGTCGGGTGGCCTTGCAATACATATATATACATACATCCTTTGGACAGCGCAACAAAATGATTCGACTGGAGCGCCTCGTAACAGGAATCCTTTGAAACACACCGCACAGGGATTTGTTTGGAAACATTCACATCAGGAATCCGGTTGAACGCACAGTGGAGTGCTTCTAGTGGCTTCCACTGGAACGCATCACAAGATGAATCTTCTGGGCATCGCTACGGCGGGCTCCTTTTGGAAAGCGCCGCAAATTGAATATTTCGGATAACGCAACACAGGAATGATAGTGAATTGGAAAGCGCCACACAGGGGCTCCTGTTGGAAAGCCGCGCAAAAAAGGAACCCATCGGAAAGCACCGCAAAAAGGGATTTGTGTAGAACGCCCCGCACCAGAACGCCTGTTTGAAAGCACCACTGAAGGTTCCTATTGGGAAGCCGCGCGCAAGGGAACCCATCGAAACGCATAACAGAGGAATTCAATTGGGAAGCCTCACGCTGGGAATCCGTTGGGTAGCGCCGCAGAGGGATTCTATAGGAAAGCCCCACGACAGGACTCCATTGGAATGTACCACACAGAGATTCCACTTAAACGCCTCGCAACTAGGATCCTTTGGAGAGCACTGCGACGGGACTCTACGGGAAATCCTCACAGTGAGAATCCGTTGGAACGCGCAGCACATGCACAATATGAACCCTGTGGAAAGCAGCCGCAGGGAAGTATCACAAAAGGGATTTCGTTTGGGCGGCACCACAAAGATATTCTAGTAGACAGCCTCGCGTTCGGAATCCACTGTGAAGCACCACGTAGAGATTTCATTGGAAGGCCTCACTACAGGAATCCTTTGGAAATCACAACAACGGCAATCCATATATATATATATATATATATAGGAAACCTTCACATTGGGAATCCTATGGAAAGCGCCACAAGGGGAGTCAATGGGAACTCCGCACAACAGGAAACCTTTTTATGAATTACCACGGAGGGTTGTTCTCCCCCTCCGAAAGAATAATAGCAACCGTATGTGTTGTTTCATTTGTTTATTTTGTGTTTTCGGGGGGGGGAGAGAGAGAGAGAGAGAGAGAGAGAGAGAGAGAGAGAGAGAGGGAGAGAGGGAGAGAGGGAGAGAGAGAGAGAGAGAGAGAACGAGAGAGAGAGAGAACGACTACAACAAAAACAGCTTTGCGTTCTTTTGAGGAGGAGGAGAGAGGGGGAGGAGGAGGAGGAAGAGGAGGATAAGGAGGAGGAGGAAGAGGAGGATAAGGAGGAGGAGGGGAGGGGACCAGGAGGAGGAGGACGAGGAGGAGGAGGAGGAAGAAGAGGAATAATAAGAAGGAAAAGAAGAGGAGGAGGAGGAGGACTTTTTGGAAGAATGGGGGAGGAAATGAGGAAGAGGAAGAAGAGGCGGGGCTCGCGGAGCGTGCGCACGCGCGCGCCCGATCTCGGTGTGCAAGCCTCGAGCGCTCGCCTTCGACCCCCTGTGACTCCACGGTCCCCCGTTGTCTCCTCCTCCTCCTCCTCCTCCTCCTCCTCCTCCTCCCTTTCGCCCTCGCCAGGCGTCGATACGGCGGCGGTGGGACGAGTTCGAGGAATCGCCGCCCGCTTTCACCCGGGGGGAGGGTGGGGGCCCCGGGCGTGGCACTGCGGCGCCGCCACCCGCCGCCGCGCCTGCGCCCCACGCTGTGCCCGCGCCCAACGGCATCAAGTCGGGCCTCTCCCTCTACAGGAGGGATGCTCAAGAATAGTAAAAGAAGAGTCTGGGGACGATTTTTTGACAACTTTTGGGCACTCTGGGAGTACTGTTTGAGTATTCTTACTTTGTCGTCCAAGATCTCCCTGTAGGGGGACAGGCCCGACCTGACAATGGCACCGCCTCTCTCCGCGCGAGGGGGGCGCTCCCGCAAGGACCTCGCCTTCAAGGGCCGAGTGCGTTTCCAGTTTCTTTTCGGCGGGAGGCGGCGGAGACTGGCGGCGGACACCGGCGGGTCGTCGGATGGAGGATTTTACACGTTGTGGCGAGAACGTTTTTCCTTGTGGGAAGGTTGTGGCCCCCGCCTTCTTCAGTGGAGGGGGGGGGGGGCTGCCCTCACACGGTCGGTTTCCTGGAGGGCGCGTGGCCTTTGCTCGCTTTTCGTCTGGCTTCTGGTTTATATTGGTGCCTATACCAGCGCCGTCCTCATGGTAGCCTAGAGCCTCACACGAAACCTCCTTAGCCGAATGATCATTCGGAGTAGTGCGCGTCAGGATGGCCGGCGGGAAGTGCGAACTTGTCCTCCAAGAGATGGCACGCGTTTTTGGATTCCGATTTTCCAGAACCTGCCACGTGGGCCCTCGCTTCATCCTTGGTTGTAGAGGTTTTTGAACCAAGGTATGCAATCATACGCACAGAACTTAGTGCCCTTATGGTTGCATTTAGGACAGACATAAATATCCGTAGCACCCCGAAGATGCGGATAAGAGTGAGGGGGCGGTGGGGACGTTGGCAGTCTGCGAGACGCTGGAGAAGCCCGCCGCAGGCGCTAAAGTTTCACAACTTATGCAACGAGACCGCCGCAGGCGCCGATCTTTTCTTCGAACCAATGTGGATCGGTCGCGGGTGGGTCGCGGGTGGGTCGCAGGGTGCTTCGCGGGGTGGGTCGCGAGCGGGTCGCAAGTGGGTCGCGGGTGGGTCGCGGATGGGTCGCGGGGTGGGTCGCGGGGTGGGTCGCGGCGTGGGTCGCGGGGTGGGTCGCGGGTTGGGTCGCGGGGTGGGTCGCGGTGTGGGTCGCGGGTTGGGTCGCGGGGTGGGTCGCGGTGTGGGTCGCGGGGTGGGTCGCGGGGTGGGTCGCGGTGTGGGTCGCGAGTGGATCGCGGGGGGGACGACGACAACAACAACAACAAACAGCAACAACAGCAGCAACAACAACAGCAACAACAATCATTTTACCCTCATGCGCGATGTTTCCACACCAAGCATGCGACCATCATGGTAATCATCCACGTAATGGGGGACTCTTGTTCCTTAGCGGGGTCCATTATTCCCATTCCCAGATCTCCCGCCCAATGAGGTCTTGCAAACACCTCTCCCGATGAATTTCGACATATCCCGCCTCGAAAACACATGCCCGCGCCTTGCTGCGCCGATGCGAGACCGCCAGTGGAACCCCAGCGAAGGGTAAGGCACAAGGAAGTATCGAACGATAGGATTGCCTTGGTGGGGATGGGGGTTGTCGGTGGTGAGGCAAGGACCTGGCCCTGAATAGAAAGTGAGGAAGTCTCGAGCAGGGCTGCTGTTGTTGTTGGGAGCGGCGCCAATGCTGAAGAGAGTAGGGCGCTAGTCCAGCGTAAAACAGAACGAAGTCTCGAGCGGGAACGCTGGTTTTGTTGGGACGACGGCGTTCGGCGGCGAGGAGGAACACCGCCTTGAGTAATAAAGGACGCAGCATCGAGCGGGAGCCGTGGTTTTGTCGGAGCGCGGGCTGTCGGCGGCGAGACACAGCACCGTCCCGAGGAACAAAAAAGGACATCTCGAGCGGGAAGGTTGTTCTTGCTGGGAGCAGCGCCAATTCAAACGAGAGTAGGCCGCCAGCCCAGCGTAAAACGGAAGGAAGTCTCGGGCGGGAGCGCTGGTTTTGTCGGGGCGGCGGTTTTCGGCGGCGAGGAGGAATACCGCCTTGAGTAAGAAGCGAGGACGCATCGAGCGGGAGCCGTGGTTTTGTCGGGACGGGGGTTGCCGGCGGCGAGGGACTGCACCATTTTCAGGAAAAAGGGAGGACATCTCGAGCGGGTGCGTTGTTTTTGCTGGGAGCGGCGCCAATTCAAACGAGAGTAGGGCGCCAGTCCAGCGTGAAACGGAAGTCTCGGGCGGGAGCGCTGGATTTGTCAGGGCTGCGGTTTTCGGCGGCGAGGAGGAGCATCGCCTTGAGTAAAAAGGGGAGGAGGTCTCAAGCGGGAGCGTTGTTTTTGCTGGGGGCGGCGCCGATGAGAGAAAGACAGGCGCGCAGTCCAAGGTAAAACGGGAGGAGGTCTCGAGCGGGAACGCTGGTTTTGTTAGGACGGCGGCTTTCGGCGGCGAGCAAGAACACCAGCCCTGAGTAAAAAAGGAGGACGTCTCGAGCGGGAGCGTTGTTGTTGTTGGGGGGCCGGTTTTGGCGGTCCCCCAAACCGCTCGAGCGTGAGCCTCATTCTCAATGAAAATACAGCCAGCGCCGAGGCCAGAGCGCCAAAGCGCCTTTAAGGTGTCCAACAATAATCATTGTTAAGTACCTAACATTCAACAACAACAATCATTTTAAGACTGTTCGCCCTTATCTGCTCGAGTGTCCAATAACGCGAATTCCCTAAACCCTCGATGCCCGCTCTCTTCGACTTCGATCGAACCCCTTTTGGGGGGTATATCTTTCTTCCGTGCAAGCCGGGCCCCGGCAAGCGGCGTGGCGGCCGCGGACCGTCGGCCTGGCCAGCCGCAGCGCTGATCGGCGGGGCGGCCGCGGACCGTCGACCCGACCCCAAGAGGGACGGACAGGCGACCGCCAACGACGATAACGACGTCGACGACGACGTCGACGACGACGGCGACGACGGCGACAACGGCGACGACGACGACGACGACGAGCGAAAGCGAGAGCGAGAGAGAACGATAGCAGGGCCACGAAGGACACGAAGTGGGCCACGAATGGCGACAGCGGGGACACGAAGGGAATGCGTATGGGACCACGAAGAGCGCGAACGAGCGGGGGCCACGAAGGGCAGATAATGCGGGGCCACAGAAGGCAACGATGGGGCCATTGAGGGTAGCAACTGGGCCACGTGGGACAGTGAGGGGGCCACGAAGGGCGACAACGGGGCCACGAAGGCCATGCACATGGGGCCACAACGGGCGCGAACGAGCGGGGGCCACGAATGGCATACGTATGTTGGGTTTCGGAGGGCAAGGAGGGGGCTACTGAGGGCAGCAACGGGGCCACGAATGGCAGCGAGGGGGCCACGAAGAGCTGCTGCAACGGGGCCACGAAGGGGAGCGAGGGGGCCACGAAGGGTTGCAACGGGGCCACGAAGGGCTGCAACGGGGCCACGAAGGGCAGCGAGGGGGCCACGACGGGCTGCAACGGGGCCACGAAACAAAGCGAAGGGGCCACGAAGGGCTGCAACGGGGCCACGAAGGGCAGCGAGGAGGCCACGATGGGCTGCAACGGGGCCACGAAACAAAGCGAGGGGGCCACGAAGGGTTGCAACGGGGCCACGAAACAAAGCGAGAGGGCCACGAAGGGCTGCAACGGGGCCACGAAGGGCAGCGAGATTCCGATTCCTAGATTATCTTTGAGGGAGTCCTAAGCGTGAGCGCGACTCGTTGGCGCCTGGGTGTCGGGAGCGCGGTGCTTGAGTAATTCGCAAGAGATTCCAGCCAAAGGGCGTTATTCGTCAGTAAATTGCAAGCGAGTCTCCAGCGAGAGCGCGAGTCCAGAGCGCTGGGAGAGCGATTCCTGAATAAATGGGGAGGAATTCCCGATCCGAGAGCGCGACTCCTGAATAAAATGCGAGGAAGTCTTGGGCGGGAGCGGGGGTCCTGGCTAAAGTGTGAGGAAGGCTAAGGCGGGAGCCGTTGTTGTTGTAACCCGGCGGCCAGGGGCACAGTTTGAGCATCAAGACTTCTCTTGTCAAAAAAACAGGGTGCGAGCGTCGAGGGGCACACTTTGATTGAGAAAGAACAGCATGCACCTGTGAGGGGGGATCAGCAATATCTATTCTTCAGAAGTGAGAGTTCAACAACAGCAACACCACCAACAGCAACAACACGACAACAACAGCATCAACAACAATCAGTTTAGCACTGTTTGTTCCTTTTCGATCGCGTGCTACGCAACGCGTATATCCCAGACCCTCGATACCCGCCCTCTTGGTCTTCGACCGTAGCCCCTCGGGGGTATCTCTTCCTTACCTGCCACGCACATTTAACGCAGCCCCTAAAACAGGGGAAGGGTGGACGGATGGGTGAAGAGAAGGATGGACCACGAGAAAGGGCCTCTCGGAGCAAATCGCGAGGAAGCATCGAACGGGAGCACTTGCCATCGCGGCTGCGTCCCCGCTCACTTGACTGAGTTGCCAGGAAGTCTCCAGCGAGAGCGTTTTTCCTGCGTTCGGGAACCTCTCTGGCCAGGGCCTCCCAGAGTAAATCGTGAGGAACTATATCGAGCGGGAGCCTTGTCGTTGCGGCTGGGCATCCGCGAACTTGATTGAATTGCGAAGAACTCTCATGCGAGAGCGCCGTTCGTGGGACCTCTGCGGGTTGGGGCCTCTGTGGGCGCGCTTGGGGCCTTTGTTCTAGCCCTCCTAGATGGGGTCGGAGAAGGTGGTGTCGGAGGATCGCGCCGCGTCGCCGACGTATCGCCGATGCGGCTCGATATGCAACCCGCTTTGCTTCACGTCAACGTCGCTGGTGCATCGGCGACGTCGACGATGCATCGCCGGTGCATCGCCGATGCATCGCCGATGCATCACCGATGTATCGCCGATGTGTCGGCGATACGGCGCGATCCTCTGACACCATCTACTCCGACCCCATCTGAGAGGCCTTTATTTGTGGGCTGCGTTGGGAGCCTCAGTGGGCAGCGCGTTGGGGCCTCTGCGGGCGCGCTTGGGACCTCTGGGCTGGGGCCTCTGGGCGCGCTTGGGGCCTCTGTGGGCTGCGTCGGAAGGCCTCAGTGGGCAGCGCGCGGGGGCCTCTGTTGGCGCGCTTGGGGCCTCTGCGGGCTAAGGCCTCTGTGGGCGCGCTTGGGGCCTCGCTGGGGTGTGTCGGGCAGCCTAGGTGGGCAGCGCGCTGGGACCTTTGTGGGCGCGCTTGGGGCATCTGCAGGCCGGGGCCTGTGTGGGCGCGTTTGGGGCTTCTGTGGGCTGCGTCGGAAGGCCTCAGTGGGCAGCGCGCGGGGCCTCTGTAGGCGCGCTTGGGGCCTCTGCGGGCTAAGGCCTCTGTGGGCGTGCTTGGGGCCTCTGTGGGCTGTGTCGAGGGCCTCAGTGGGCAGCGCGCTGGGGCCTCTGGGCGCGCTTGGGGCCTCTGTGGGCTGGGGCCTCTGTGGACTGGGGCCTCTGTGGGCTGCGTCGGGAGCCTCAGTGGGCATCGCGCTGGGGCCTCGGTGGGCGCGCTTGGAGCCTCTGCGGTCTGGGGCGTCTGTGGGCGCGTGTGGGGCCTATGTGGGCTGCGTCGGAAGGCCTCAGTGGGCAGCGCGCGGGGGCCTCTGTGGGCGCGCTCGGGGCCTCTGCGGGCTGGGGCCTCTGTTGGCGCCCTTGGGGCCTCAGTGGGCTGCGTTGGGGGGCCTCAGTGGGCAGCGCGCTGGGACCTTTGTGAGCGCGCTTGGAGCTTCTGTGGGCTGGGGCCTCTGTGGGCTGCGTCGGGAGCCTCACTGGGCTAAGGCCTCCGTGGGCGCGCTTGGGGCCTCTGTGGCCTGTGTCGGAGGCATCGGTGGGCTCGCTCGACGACTCTGTGGGCTGGGGCCTCGGTGGGCGCGCGTGGGGCCTGTGGGCTTTGTCGGGGGGCCTCAGTGGGCAGCGCGCGGGGGATTCCGTGGGCACGCTTAGGGCCTCTGTGGGCTGGGGCCTAGGTGGGAAGCGCGTTGGGGCCTCTGTGGGCGCGCTTGGAGCCTCTGTGGGCGCGTTTGGGCCTCTGTGGGCTGGGGCCTTTGTAGGCGCGCTGGGACCTCTGTGGGCTGTGCCGGAGGGCCTCAGTGGGCAGCCTGCGGAGGCCTCGGTGCGCTTGGCGCCTCTGTAGGCAGGAGCCTCTGTGGGCGCGTGTTGGGTCTCTGTAGTAAGTCGGGGCCTCAGTGGGCAGCGCGCTGGGGCCTCCTTGGGCACGCTCGTGGCGTGGGCTGTGTCGGGGGCCTCAGTGGGCAGCGCGCGGGGGCCTTTGTGGGCGCGCTTGGGACCTCTGCAGGCTGGGGCCTCTGTGGGCGCGCTTGGGGCCTATGTGGGCTGTGTCGGAGGGCCTCAGTGGGCAGCGCGCTGGGACCTTTGTGAGCGCGCTTGGAGCTTCTGTGGGCTGGGGCCTCGGTGGGCGCGCGTGGGGCCTCTGTGGAACGGGGGGCCTCAGTGGGCAGCGCGCGGGGGCCTCCGTGGGCAAGCTTGGTGCGGGGGCTTGGGGCCTCTGTGGGCTGCGTCGAGAGCCTCAGTGGGAAGCGCGCTGGAGCCTCTGTGGGCGCGCTTGGTGCCTCTGTGGGCTGGGGCATCTGTGGGCGCGCTTGAGGCCTTTGAGGGCTAGGTCCTCTGTGGGCTGTGTCGGGGGGCAGCGCGCTGGGCCCTTTGTGGGCGCGTTTGGGGCCTGCGTGGGCAGCGCGGGGGGGCCTCTGTGGGCGCGCTTGGCGCCTATGTGGGCTGTGACAGAGGGCCTGCGGGCAGCATGCCACCGTCCCTGTGGGCTTACTCTGGGCCTCAGTGAGTTGCGTGTTGGGGGCCTCAGTGGGACCCCCCCACTCACCTCTGTGGGTTGTGTCCGAAGGCATCAGTGGGCAGCGTGCTGGGGCCCCTTGTGGGTGCACTTGGAGCTCTCATGGGCTGCGCCCGAATGCCTCAATGAGCAGCGTGCTGGGGCCTTTTTGGTGCGGGGGCCTCTCTGGCCAAGGGGTACTAAAGGGGGTGTCGAGCGGGCGCCCCTGTCGTCTCACGTGGGCCGCCGGCGCCACCACCGACTTCCAATGTCAGGCCACAGGCTCTCGAAGCGCAGCTTGAGAAAATAACGAATGGGAGCCCTTGTCGTCGCGGCTTGGCCCACACCAACTTGGCTGAAAGACGAGGGCGTCTCGAGCGAGAGCGTCACTCTTGAGTTCGGGGGCCTCTCTGGCAAGAGGGGCCTCTGCGAACAAATCTTGAGGAAGAATCGAACGAGAGCCCTTGTCGTCGCATCTAGGCCTCCACCAATTTGATTGAATCAGGAGAAAGTCTAGAGCGAGAGCGCCATTCCTGAGTTCGTGGGCCTTCCTGGTCAGGGGCTCTCAGAGTAAATCGTGAGGAAGTATCGAGCAGGAGCCCTTGTCGTCGTGGCAGGGCTCCCGTCAACTTGATTGAATTGCGAGGAAGTCTCGAGCGAGGCGCCGTTCCTGAGTTCGGGGGACTCTTTGGCCAGGGTGTCTCGAGGTAAATGGTGAGAACGTATCGAGCGGGAGCCGTTGTTGTCGTAGCTGGGCATCCAAGGGCCCACTTTTAGGGTCAAGCCAACGCTCGAGCGGGAGCCTCGTTTTCAGAAAAACTATAGCCGGCGTCGAGGCGAGAGCGCCCAGAACCTGTACCCGAGATCAACAAGAATTGCTCTCTAGAAGTGAGTATTCAACAACACCAACAACATCATCAACATTAACAACAGCAACACAAACAACAATGACACCAGCAACAGCATCAACAACATCATCACACACAACAACAATACCATAACACAAACAACACCAACAACAACAACAACAACAACAACACCAACAACAACAGCAGCAACAACAGCAGCAACAACAACACCAACAACAACAACAGCAACAACAACAACAGCAACAACGACAACATCAACAACAACAGCAACAACAACAGCAACAACAACAGCAACAGCAACAGCAACAGCAACAGCAACAGCAACAACCACAGCAACCACAACAACATCAGCAACATCAACAACAATAACAACACCACCACCACCAACAACAACAACAACAACGCAACAAGCATAATCCCCACCACAGGTTCTCAATTCAGCCACGCACCCAGGGACAATGAATGACCGTTCGGCCCCCTCACTCTGATGTAACAGTAATTCGTGCTTTGACCTGGGTCAGTACATCCGCGACGTTCCTCATCCCCTTCCCCCTCCCCTCCCCGCAACCATCCGGCGTGCTCCCCGCGCTCCGATCCCTCGTGCAGCCCGCCGCAGCAGCAGGCCTCCTCCATGAGCGGCGAGCACCTCCGAATCTGCGCCGTCGCGATCTGGATTCCCGGGGCGCGATCCCGCGGATACGTGGTCGCACGTCGGGTGCGGCCAAGATGGGGGTGATGACTAGGGGTGTGTGGATATCATGGCAGGGGCCATGATGGTTCCCCAGATTTCATGGCGCCTCTCGTATTTCAATAAGTTCCCTGCCACCCCCCTCGGGCCGCGCACATGCCGCCGGCCATGATCTGTGTCCCCCGTTCTTGGACGCCCACCTCTTGGCCGCCCCCGAGCACGGATACGTTCCGCGCGAGGCATCCGCGAACAAGACGCCCCGTATCCATGGGGTCGGGGCCCAGGGGCCTGGCTCACGAGGCTTGGGGTACGGATCCGTTTTGCGTCCGCGACCTCCCTCTTGCCCCCACGAGCCCGGCCCCCCTCTTCCCCCGACCGTGAATGTACGGCCACGGAGCTCCGCGCTCCGCACTCCCTTCGTGCAAGACGGGCCAGGGCGCGCGTACCTGCTTGCTCCCTCTGCTCTGGACGTTTAGAGGTTTTCGACTCCCTCTCAGGGGGGCCCTTGTGTTTCCGAATGCCTCCTGAGGTTCCCGCAGGCCTACGGGCGCCTCCAAACGCCCAAAAACTTTGATCCTCGATCCTCTCTCGCCCCTCCCCTCTGCCTTCGCTCCTGATATGATCTGATTCAGATAATAGGCAGGGGACCTACTTGCATCTTTGGTGTACCTTTCCCGCGAGGCTCGCACAACAGCCTGTCAGCCTCTCCAATATTTTTACAGCGGTGCCTGCTTCTCCCACGGCGCATCTGTGAAGTGGGAGAGGAGGGACTAGGACGAGGGATGGATGAAGTAAGGGAGATGGAGGGAGCGAGAGAGGCAGGGTCATTGAAAAGCTCTTGTTTAAGCTCTCTTCCCCCGCGTCGGCTCAGGCGCTCGGTGGCCGGGCCTCGAATCCACAAGGCGGCATCGAGGGGGCGGGTGCCTGCTGCTGCGTGCGCATGGTGCACGAGGGAGGGGGATTGGAGAAGGAGTGGGGATTGGGGAGTGACGAGGATACTGACGATGGCGATGATGATGACGATGGCGATGACGATGACGATGATGCTGATGATGACGATGATGATAAGGATGATGATGATGATGATGATGATGATGATGATGACGATGATGACGATGATGACGATGGTGATGATGATGATGGTGATGATGATGATGATGATGATGATACTCATGATGCTGATGATAACCATGGTGATGCTGATGCTGGTAATGATGGTGATGATGCTGGCGAGCTGATGCTGATGATAATCATGACGATGCTGACGCTGGTAATGTCGGTGTGATGATGACGACGATGATGATGATGATGATGATGATGATGACGACGATGCTGATGCTGCTGATGATGATGAGGATGCATAAGATGATGATGCTGATGATGATGCTGTCGATGTAGATGGTGACGGTGGCTCGGTGATGGTGATGGTAATCGTGCTGGTGATGATGATGATGATGATGATGATGATGATGATGATGATGATGATGGTGCAGTCGATGGCGACGGCGATTGTGATGATAATCGTGATGGTGGTGATGGTGATGAAGATGATGGTGTTGCTGATGCTGTTTATGATGAGGAGCAGGAGGCCAGTCCGACAGGATGGAGTGTTCATGGCTGTGGAGTCTAAGATTGAATCTAATTGTGTTGATGGTAATCCAGGCTGTAGCTGTGTAGTGGCAGCAACAGGGCCTCGGCATCATGATGCCTGCCTTCAGAGGCCCCAAGGACACAACGCGTATTGCACACTATATAAATATAGTTGGCCCCAAATACTGCACCACATAACTTGAACCAAACTGCTCCCACAACACGGAATGTGGTATACACATGCCTTGCACGAGACGTGCCACTCGACATACAAGTTGCACCCTGCATGTTGCACCAGGCAAGCTGCGCAGTAATAGGTCGACTGCACGTGGAGCCTGTAAGAGTCCACTGTTAAGCATCCGCGCTGGTAAACATGACCGGCTACCTTGCGAATTAGGAGGTTGCCAGTTTGCCGAAGCGGGAGGGGAAAGTCATGGGACGGGGGTCGCGGGTAGCGAAGGAGAGTGGAGGGGAGGAGAGGGGAAGGTGTGCCTTTGTGGCTTCACCTCAGCGTGTCGATGTCCGTCTTGAGATTCTCTGCGTAGGGATGGCGTCTAGCATGCCATCAACTGGGCGCGGGCGTCAAACCGTCATCCAGGTCCGTCAGGAACTCGTGGGGGTTTGTAGCGGATGGGGAGAGGCAAAGGTAGCGGAGGGGAGGGGGAGGGGGAGATGATGGGAGGGGAGAGGAAGGATGTCGGAAGGCCCATGAGAGTGGAAAGGTTCAGAGGGGGATGGTCAGAATTTGTCAGGCTGAGGGGAGTGGAAGGGGGAACGGTGGGGCGGGAGAAAGCGGAGTGGAAGGACGTAGGAGGGACTTGTCATGGGGAGGGAGAATAATGAGGACGGGGGGGAAATCAGGGTGTGAGAGAGAGAGAGAGAGAGAAAGACAGAGAGAGAGAGAGAGAGAAGGAGAGAGAGAGAGAGAGACAAGGAGAGAGATAGACAGGGAGAGGGAGAGAGCCAGAGACAGAGAGAGAGATGCACACAACGACAGATATATAGAGAGAGAGAGAGAGAGAGATAGAGACATATATATATACATATATATAGAGAGAGAGAGAGAGAGAGAGAGCGAGAGAGCGAGAGAGAGATGGAGGGCGAACGCATAATTCACTGGGCGAGGAGGGGTTTGATTGGGCAGTGTCACGCGGAGAGGGATAGTAATGACCTAAGCTGTTGTTGCGATTTTGCTTAAAGACGACAAATTTGTGACAGCGTATTCTTATACGTGCTCATATCCTACACATTCATAGCCATTGTGATAGTGCACATCTCTCTTTGTATAGGCATGCCGCTCCGTGTATATATTGCTCTGGCGTGCCTGGTGTTCTCTGCGAGTCAGGATTAGAGGGCGCCGTTGCGACCGTTGTTGCATCAATGCTCAAGCTTTTGTGGCGTTCAGATGCCTGGACTCCGCAACGGATTCTGGCTTGTGGGCGCTGTCACTCAGCTCTTCACAGCATATTGGTGGCGGACACAGCCTTGTCCTGCGTGCCCTGGGTGCCCGCCGTGCCCGACTCTACACTGCCCCAGCTGCCCGCTTCTGCAGTGTCCAACGGGCGTGAGTTCCTTGCAGGCCGGCGGGAACGCCGGCGGAGGTCCGAGCTCGACACCTCCTGAGCCGCCACCTGTGGTGGAGAGTGCTGACGACCCTGGGCCTCCTGGCGTCGCTGCTCCAAGTGAGGATCCAGCGGCGGGGTCGACCGAGAGCTCTTCGGGGTCAAGCGGCTGGCTGGGGGAGTTCGTGGCCCTGTGGCTCCACGCGCTGATCGCTTTGGGACAGGCCGCCGTGGTCCTGGGATACTCTTGCCTGAGGAACGTGTGCTCGTGTCGACTACGAGTCCGACAGCCTCCTGCCGCCATAGGCTATGGTCGCCCCGCCGGCGGACGTCCGCCCGTGGGCGTGGGTGCTGTACGCCGGCGAGCGGCGATGGCATCAGCGTCGGGTCTGGGGGCAAGTAGAGGATCCGCCAACTGGGCCTCAGACTCGTCTGCTGTTGATCAGCAGCACACCTGATCACGATGTCTACGAAGAAGATTATAGCAGGGACAGCGCTGACATCCTGGGCGTTCGGTTTGTGGACACTCGTCGTGACCGCGGGGGCCTGGACGCAGGGCTGCTATACGGGTTCAGGCGACGCTTGACGGTGAATGAGGAGACCGCAATCATGGTGGCGGTGATCCAGGTGGCCGACGAAACGTACCTGGCTCGGGAGACCGCTGGGGGCCGCGCTGCTGTGTTGCCTGCGGGAGGAGCGCTGCGGGCTTTCGACTTCGGGCTGCGTGGCGAGGGAGCTGGGCAGCAGCTGGTCGGAGCCGACGGTGGCGCTGCTGGAGGCAAAGCTGAAGGCGCGGCCGCCCTGGTGGGCGTGGGGCCCGCGCGGGGACCTGGTCTCGGAATCGCTGCTGGTGGTGCAGCCGCTGCTCAACCTGTGGGTGCTGGAGCGCCTGGGCAGGCAGCGGCGGCCCCTGTGGCGGTCGGGGGCCCTGGTCCTTTCGCTGCTCCTGCTGCTCCGGAGTGGGTGATGACGGAGACGACGGCCGCGGGAGACCGCGGGACGGTTGTGGCCCTGAATGGGACGGAGCGTCTCGGAGGCGACGTCGGGATCATGAGGACCGACAAAGGCTGGATTGGCATCCGGCGGGTGTCGCTCAACCTGTCGCTCTATGCTGGCGCTGAGGCTGGACTGGACGCCCGGCTCCTGGGGATCTCGCTGCAGTCAGATGGCCATCGCCCTCGGATTCAGTTTCGAGACGCTGTCGCCAAGTTCGAGCAGACTCCACTCCCAGGCTGGCCCCTGGAGGGCCCCCGCTCGGCAGCGTGGTGCTTCGTCTTCATCGACAGACGCCGCGGGGGCCCGCTGGAGCATTTCACGCAGTTCAAGAGTCAGTACCACTTGACGAACGAGGACTACGGGGTGGCCCACTACGAGAGCATCATGAGGATGATCGAATTCTTGGCCTGCTGGGATCAGGTGAATCTCCCCGACCTCGTTGGCGTCGAGGTGGCTATGCGACAGGCACAGTTGTGCGAATACGCGTACGCAATGGATGCGGAGGGCTCACTACATGCGGCCCCGCAGGCCTCGGAGGACAAGAACAAGAAGGGACGCGGCCGCGGCCGTGGCTTCGCCAAGTTCGCGTTCCTAGACGAGGCCTCCGCCTTCACTGGGACATCGAAGGAGGACGGGAGGATGATGGTGTGTCCTGACCTCCTTCACCACGTGTCCGCCATGGTCGAGAGGGACGCGGGCATCCTCAAGTCGCTGCGTAAAGCGCTTGAGGAGCGCCGCGCCCTCTCGGGGCAATGAGAGTGACCTCGGACGGGATGCCCCTCGCCCCGCCCGAGATGGATCAGAGGGCGGCTCCAGTTTCCCCGCCTGGAGTCAGTGATGTACGTGGGGGCCGCTATTCTTCTCGCCGGGATGGCCGCCAGCGCGATGTCTTCCCGATTCCTCTTCTCCCTGATCCTGTTTCTTCCTCCATTGAGCTTCAGAGCACGAAGACCCTTTCTCGGACAGCAGCTCGGCGGGTACACCGCCGCCATCATAGGCTTGACATGGTGAATGAGATAGTCGTGACTCTCAACGACATGTACCTAGGTGGTAGTGGACATGACGACCTTCCGCGTCGTGCCGCTGGAGATCCGCTGCTTGCTGCCCATGTCGAGGTACACCGGGAGCTGGAAGATGCGGTTCGACGCTTCGGAGAGCCTCCGCTGGATCTCGACGGCCCAGGAGCCCTTGCGGAGCTTCGGGTGTCCCAGGCGTACCACGGGGAGGCCGTGGCCATCGCCCCGGTTGGCTTCGACAACGTCGACCGCATTTCCCTGCCTGCCGCTACGACCTCTCCGCAGACGTTAGAGCACTTGGCTGGGGATGTGGGCCGGAAGATCGCTGACCGTTTACAAGATTTGTTGTTACCCCGAGAACAGGGGTTGGACCGTATCCATACTGAGGGACCGCGTCGGCTATACGTTGATCCCAACCTTCGTAACCCTAAGTTGCATCAGCGGGTGCTTCAGCGGCTGGTGGACTCTAACTTGGTGAGTTTCCAGCTGGACTGCGAGCGCTCGGTCGGGCTCTTTTTCGTTCACAAGAAAAATGGCGATCTACGGATGATCCTAGATGGCCGCTACTCGTCATTGCGCTTCGCCGAGGCCGACAAGGTTGAGTTGGCCTCCGGCGGAGCTTTCAGCCAGATCGCCGTAGACGGGGATGACCCCATCGCCGTGGCCGGCGTGGACATCGCCGATGCCTTCTACAACATCCTGTTGCCTCCATGGCTGCAAAAATACTTCGGCCTCCCGCCCGTCAGAGCAGGCGACTTCAATCTCTCTCATGTTGTCGAGGGTATTCCTGTGCTTCCCTCGCAAAAGGTGGTCCCATGCTTTCGTTGCCCGCCCATGGGTTGGAGCGTGAGTCTTTGGATCTGTCAGACCTTGAATGAGCACATCAGCTCCCTTGTCCCAGACATCAGTACACATAACCTCCTTGTTGATCGCAGGCCAGCCCCGAGTTTGAGCAACGATTTCATACACACTGAGTACGTTGACAACTTCGTCTCATTGTCACGGTCTGTGGAGCGTGCAGGCGACATCGCCAGGGCCGTGGGCCGCGAACTGAATCGAGTCGGGTTGCCTACGCACGAGGTCGAGGAGGGGGTAGGTGGTCAGACTTTGGGCTGGGAGTTTGGCTCGAATGATGCGGTCATCGGGTTGAATCCTCGTCTACGCTGGAGGTTACGTCTTGGCATCCAGGAGATCTTGAGGCAGGGCCGCTGTACTGGGGACGCGCTCCGGAGGGTCATATCGCACTATACCTCTCGGGGCCTCATCAGGCGGGAGCTTCTGAGCGCTCTGAGTGCCGTGTACTCGTTCATCCGCGTAGCAGGTCATAGGTCTTTACGCCTCTGGGGGTCCGTTCGACGTGAGCTACGGTGGTGTAAGTCCTTGTTGGTCCTATGCTTTAGAAACGCAGGCAGGCCTCTCTCAAAGGTGGTTTCTTGTGTTGATGCCTCATGGTGGGGGGTTGGAATCATTGAGAAGGGTTTCACACGCGATCAGGTCGTCGAGTTGTCGTCCTTCAACGAGCGATGGAGGTTTGGGCGAGACAACGAGAAGTCGATGCCTCCCCGAGCCTTCGACATCGGCACGTGGGAGGATGAGACCGAGGAGACCAAGGCGAGTGCGGGGTTCGGCGAGCCCCACCATGTCCTGAAGGCCTCGCACGGCCTGTTGTTCGAGGAGCCCATCAAGGTCTTCCCGAAGCCTCCGGAGGCCAAGTTCAGGAGCGTCTCGAAGGAGGTCTGGGGTGGTGTCTGGAAGCGTGTCCTTTCGAAGCCTTGGGGGCGCGAGGAGCCCCAGGTCATCTTGGAAGGCAGGGCTCTGGTCAGCTGTCTAAAGCATCTTCTTCGGAGCTCTCGGAATTTCAGACACACTCATGTCATCCTAAATGACTCTATGGCCCCGTTGCTGGCTTTGCTCAAGGGTCGGTCCTCATCGGCGCCACTTCAGCGAGTATGCCGTCAGGTGGCAGCGTTGGCTCTGTGCAGTGGCTGTGGCGTTGTCTGGCGCTGGGTACCTTCCGAGCACAACAGTGCTGACGCAGCCTCGCGTAATCGACCTGGCCTTACAGCTGAGGCGGATCGCGCAGCCGCTGGAGATGCCAGGCGCAGCAGCCCTTGTTCAGGTGGGGGGCGGCTTGCCGAGAGGTCGGGGCGGACCAGGGACCAGCTTGGCCGCGGCCTCGACTCGCCGCCGCCCGGCCTCAGCCTCGGCGACGAGCCTCGGTGTCCGAGCTCGCGTGGAAAGCGACCGCCGAGCCGCCAGGCGCCTGCAGCGCCGCCAGGGCTACAGCCGGGACATCGTCCCGAGGCCCGGAGCGGGTCGCTCGTTTCTGGAGCAGGAGTCGGTGTCTGCCGCCACCCGCCGGGACTACCAGAGGAGAGCTCACGACTTTTACCTCTGGGCGGAGCACTCGCGCTTGGTGACGGTGACCGAGGAGCAACTGGACGAGACCCTGGTGATCTACTTCCACGAGCAGTTCTTGGAGGGGGGCGAGAGCACGGACGCGTGGAACCTGTTTGCGTCGCTGGCCTTCGAGGGCCGCCACCTGGGCTTGAAGTGCAGCAATCTGCCGCGTGCGACCCGAGCTGCGCGAGGATGGCGCAAGCTGGCTCCACCTCGGTCGAGGCTCCCGCTGCCGTGGGCTGCCTGCTGCCTTGTCATCCGCCAGCTCATCCAGGCCGGACAGCGAGTGCTTGCGGAGCTCACGGCCGTGGCCTTCGCCCTGTACCTGAGGCCTTCGGAAGCGCTCTCCCTGACTACCAACAGCCTGGTGCCCCCGTCGGTGCTTCATGGAGGCCCACGCGGGGCCTGGAGCGTGATGCTTCATCCAAGGGAAGCCCGGGTGTCCAGCAAGACGGGGGTGTACGACGACTCGCTGCTGGTAGACAGCCCCGCCTTTCCTTGGCTGCCCGGTCTTTTCCAAAAGCTGCTGCGCGAGCGTCCCAAGAACAGCCCTCTCTTCCCCGTAACGTACAGCGAGTGGAACGCCAAGTTCGCCGCCGCAGCCAGGGACAGTGGTCTTCAGCCGTTGCTGCCACTGACCCTTCACCAGCTCAGGCACGGAGGAGCGAGCCACGAGCTGCTGGTCCGGGCCCACACCCAGGACGAGGTGAAAAAGAGAGGTCGTTGGGCCACAGATCAGGCCGTGAGGCGGTACGCCAAAGGAGGACGGATTCAAGAACAGTTGAACATGCTCCCACACCACATTCAAGGCACCGCGAAGCGAAGCCTCGATACGATTGGCGCCGTCCTCTGCGCGACCTAGCTCGTTTTGTGAACGAATCTGGGCAGCAAGTCATGTTAGAAGTCTTCAGTGGGAGCGGCAACCTTTCTCGGTCGCTTCGGTTAGTCCTGAGGGGGACCGCCTGCTTCGAGCTCGACATTGTTCATGACGCCGCTGCCGATGTTTTGTCTGGTAGAATTCAGAAGCTGATCAGGGGTTGGGTACGCAGCAGAATGCTCCTAGGGGTGTGGATAGCTACTCCGTGCCAATCAATGTCGCGGGCTCGTAATCGGCCGAATGGACCCCCGCCGCTTCGAGACGCTCAGCACCCCCTCGGACTCCCGCACCTGAATCCCGCCGGCTGTCTGAAGGTTGCCCGTGGTAATCGTCTAGCCCGCTTCAGTTTTAGCCTCTTTTCCCTGTGCAGATCCCTTAGAGTCCCTGTAGTTATCGAGAATCCTTCAACCTCCTGGCTTTGGAGTCTCCCAGGGGCCCAAGCGCTTGCCCGTTCCAGTAACGTTCTCGATCTTGATGTCGATTTTTGCGCTTTCGGAACCCCGTGGCGTAAACGAACTCGCCTTCGATTTTGTCATCTCGACCTTGCCGGGCTCAAAGGGGCCCGCTGTCAAGGCCGCGGCGTTTGCAGTTTTACAAAGTGCCCGCGCAGGGTGCTTGAAGGAAAAGACAGTTCCGGGCGATTTCTTACCCACATCGCCGAACCATATCCCAGAGGGCTATGTGTAGAGCTTAGTAGAGCCTACAAGCAAGCGTTGCGAAATAAAGCTTTCTGTACTTTAAATAGATATGTGGCCTGACGGCCAGTGTGAGAGTTTCGCAAAGTGTCAGTGTTTGCGCTCTAGTTCGGAGTTGTGATTGCTTCGCGGTGAATACCCGTGCGAGGCTATGGCATCTAGATGCGAGCGGCTCTGGGCCGCAATCACACAGATTATCAGCATGGTCTGTCTGTAGCAAAAGTGCTGTGCATCTGCAAGGCTGGCGCCCAGGAGTCCGCCAAGCATAGATTGCTCTGGCGTGCCTGGTGTTCTCTGCGAGTCAGGATGAGAGGGCGCCGTTGCGACCGTTGTTGCATCAATGCTCAAGCTTCCCTCCCTCGGTTCCCTTCGTCCCACCCTACTGTTAGAGCCTTTCTACACTTGCACTGGAGTTGTGATTGCCTCGCGGTGAATACCCGTGCGAGGCTATGGCATCTAGATGCGAGCGGCTCTGGGCCGCAATCACACAGATTATCAGCATGGTCTGTCTGTAGCAAAAGTGCTGTGAATCTGCAAGGCTGGCGCCCAGGAGTCCGCCAAGCATATATATATATATATATATATATAAACATGTGTGTATGTTGCAGTTGGCGTGCCCCACAAACAGGTTGTGTCTGGCCTGTGGATGTGTAAGCTATGGTGTGCGAGCAATGTGCTGCGAGCTATGTGGTGCAAGCTAGGTGGAGTAAGCTATGTGGCGCAAGCTATGTGTTGCAGCCTGCGCTGTGCAATCTGTGCGGTGCAACCTGCTTGGTGCAAGCTGTTGGGGCGCCCAGGCACGAGGCGAAACCGCGGACTGCCCCCCCCCCCCCCCCTCCCCGCGCTGTGTGCCCACGTGGCGCCCACGGGCGGGCGGGCGCCAGGCGAGACCTCGGCCCCCCCCCCCGCTCCTCCTCCTCCTCCCCCTTCTCCTCCTCCGCCTCCTCCGCCTCCTCCTCCTCCCCCCCCAGCGCGGGGCGCCCGCGAGCGCCCACGAGGCACTCCCCGGCAGGTGCAGGGCGAAGCCTCGGCACGCCGCCCCAGGCGCGGGGCGCCCTCGGGGCGCCCACGCCCACGGGCGGGCCCCCGCCGAAGCTTGCGGCACCACCCCCCACGCGCGGAGCGCCTTCCAGGCGCCCACGTGCGCACGGGCGCCCGCGGGCGGGCACCGGCCAGAAAGATTCGGCTAGTCGTGTGAGTGCCAAGTGGGACCGCCCAGGTGTGAGCATGGTCCGTGGCCGGTGCATGTGTATTCTATGTCGACGCGCTCTTATGTGTACAGTCGCACATGTGTGTACACGTATACAAAGAGAAGAGTGGCATGAGGATGCGCACGCACATGTATCTACATACACATTCAGATGTAACCTAGCGAGGGGGAGGGAGAGTGGTATTTATTCACGTACATAGCTATAACTGTATAACAGGGAGAGGGAGAGAGAGAGAGAGAGAGAGACAGGGGGAGAGAGAGAGAGAAAGAGAGAGAGACAGGGAGAGAGAGAGAGAGAGAGAGAGATAGAGAGATAACTAGTGGTATGCATATATATATATATATATATATATATATCGATAGAGAGAGAGAGAGAGAGAGAGAGAGAGAGAGAGAGAGAAAGAGAAAAAAGGAACACAAAAAAAAAGTGATAGAGGGAGACAGAAAGAGAGATAATCCCTGTTTGCGAAACCCACCACTGTCTCTGAGTAACGGTACGCTGGCAAACTCGAGCCCTCGTGAGGGAGGGCGGTGTCACGACCTGGACTGTGAGAACGTCTTGGGTCCAGGCCGCATCGAAAATGCTTGAGAACAGACAGAGACCGACGATTGGCCGAGGAGGACGAGCACGATGGGGATGAAATAGTCTCCCAGGGTGGGAAAGAGAGGGATAAAGAGAGAGAGAGAGAGGCCCAAACGCGCGGCCGTAGGGCGGTGCCGCACGTCCTTCATCTCGGAGCACAGGTCGATGGTTCGACCCCCATCGGGTCGGCACGCACTCTCGAGAGGGGAGGAAAGGGATAAAAGAGAGAAAAAGTCATGATTACTTGGAAGAGGGGGGTGTGGGAAGAGAGAGAGAGAGAGAGAGAGAGAGAGACAGAGAGAGAGAGGGCCCACAAGGCTCCCCGCGACACTGCTAGGCGGTGTTGCTCCCACGGGAACTAGGGCGGCCGCATCAGGGGGGTAGTGGATGTCTGTTGGCTCTGCTGGGGGAGGAAGAAGCTTGTGAAAACAACCTAAGCACGGAAGCGCAGGGGAGGGACACGGGATGTGGTGAGCACGTCTGGTCAGCCTCTCAGCACAGACTGCCCACACCCTGACCGCACAAAGGTCGTATCTGCTGGTGGGGAGGGGAAAAGGGGTTGAGGGTCAGAGGTAAGTCATTAGGTTCAAGGTGGAGAGGAATGGAGGGGAAACCGAACATTCAGCCATGGACCTCATGATAAATCTGGAGGCCATCAGAAGCTTCACACATTGGAATCCTCCTTCGTCCATTCCTGGAAACTCTGCCACTCGGGAGACAAGCGGGGGCAGGCAGGCCATTGAGACGACCAGCGACGACGGGGATGGCAGCACCTACCATGCCTGTGACCATCGTCTTCACCACGGCCTGTTCCTCCCCGTTCGCAAACGTGACAGGGAGCTGCATGGAATTCGATATCTCTTGAAGGAACCACGTCTCCCGTGTGTGGGTCCAGTGGAGCGTCACATAGGCCTTCATGACCTTCATGAGCCCCCACTCGTCTACAGGGAAGACTAGCCAAACCAAGAGTGCCGTGAAGAGTCCAGCGAGATAGCCCAACACACCGTACTGAAACGAAACCATCTCTATAGATGGCGATACCATAGAGGTTGAGCGCTTAGACGTAAAAGTCGGCGTCACGATCTTCCCAGCTTCACTTTCTGACGAGAACTCAGGCTCGAGGTCGGTTCAGAGAGCACTACCGTTCACGACATTCAACACCATCGCCACCGCCTTCGCCTTCTGCTTCGGCACAGCCTTCCGAGGGCAATGTGCTGAGATGCGCTTGCTCACGTTGTAAGTGATGCCTTTGTCGCTGCTCATCGCCTTTTCGAGGATGTTGGAGGCCTCCCCCAGGTCACCTTCTTCGGCAGCACCTTCTTTGTGCCCAGCAGCGACTGCAGCCACCCGTGTTCTGCTCGACGCAGGGTTGTGTCCGACGAGAGAGCCTCCGCAACTGGCGTCGGTGAGGTGTCTCGAGGCGCTGGTGTCGAAGTAGACGGTTTAGCTTTCAGATCTCTGTCGCCCTCCAAGAGCTTCGCTATCTTGTCTCCGAACGAACTATTCATTGCCATGGCCAAGTACCCGCCCTGTTTACGCAAGCGAAGCTCCTCGGCCTTGTCCTTCTCGTCCTTAGCCTGGTACTCTGGATCTGCTTTGGCCAAGTTCCCCCTCATCTGGATGATGTCCCTGGAGGGCACCTGGTCGACTGAGCGAGACCTTGGGCGTCTATCATCGCAGTCAGGATGTTGGTCATGGTAGCGATCGCCTCCCTCACGTCCACGGTCACGGTCATCACGCGATGAGCCTCCACGATCACGGTCATTGCGACCCCCACTCTCCCCCACGACCTGGGCTGCTGCGCCGATCTCTGCTGTCTCCTCGGCGGTCTCGGTCATCACGTCGGTCACGATCACGATCCCTATCACGGTCGTCACGTCGCCCGTGCGAGTCATACCACCCGTCGTAGGAACGCCACCTCTCATCACGCTCTCCACCGCGGTAGTTCCATGACGGGCGGCGCCCTTTCCCACCCACGGTGGTGATCGCCTCGTATGAAGATCGCCAACGTCGCAAGACCACTCGAGCCTTCTGGATGGCAACGGGCCAGGGACAGGCATGGGCTGCGGCACAGATCACCTCGGAGGGGTGGCCGACGAGGTATGGCACCACCACGGGAACCGATCATTTCAGAAACTGAGCCCGAACTTGACGTCCCGAGAAGGGTGCCACGATCATGTTGAATCCCCGAGGTGGCATACCAGGCCAGGAGAGGATGTTTGTCTTTGGTCGGGGGCCCTCGGAGGTCTTGTGGAGCCAGGTCCTGTTGTCGTTCTTGGGGGCAATCCACAGGTAGAGGTCCCATGGGGCCATACGTCCATATCTAACCACATACATGGTTTAGTGGGTCTTCCAAACCACACGCTGGGGATAGTTTCACACAACACATGTTGGTCGGGTACTTGAACACACACATCTTACAGTATACATGTCTGGTGCCAATGATATCATCCACATACGTGCGCTGACGCATTTCAATGGAACCCGATGGTGGTATGGTGAAGCCAGGGGGAACAAAACGTTCAGTATGTTTTTTTGACTTCAGCGCAAACCAAGCCATGAGTATGGATAAGGGCCGCGTCAGACAAGACGCCACCAATAGATAAGCCGCGTAGCTCGTAAGCCATGCCTCCAATGGTGACTAACGAAAG